ATTAATAGTTAGTTACATTTTTTTGAAAAAGAAAAGTTGAAAGATCATTTAGACAGAAATTGATATTGATATTGAAAAAAAATGATTTTCTTCTTGTATTGAATTAACAGGTTATCCAGAACGTATGGCCAGTTTTTGAACTCCTTTTTTTTCGCATCTAGTATGTTTATTTTAAAAACACAATATACCATAAGGTGCAACGTGAAAAACTCTACAGGGTACATTAAAATCTTTATATTATATATACACCTTTTATTTTCAAAATGGACAAAATTCTGTATGATTAACCTTCGACGCTTCGAAAAACACAATTTTTTCGTAGACTACGGGTCCCTTTTTTCTTATTTCATCAACTAATGAATCATCGGTTGAAAATGTATTCTATTATATAATATTGGTAATAGTGTCTCATACATAATAATCCAGAACATTGGGATCGAGACTGTTTGGTGACCATCTGTGATTGTTTATGAATTGCATGAAATTCTTTTCACATCATACTAATGACTCCTGATATATATGCGCTGTCCTGTTGGTAGATAAAATCATCACCAAGTAGACGCTGACCTTCAGTTTGCATATATGGAAGAACAATTTCAATATAATCCTTATGTGATAATGTTTTACCAAATGTGAATATAATTGGAGATGTAAGGGCCATTTTCAGACGATCTTAACCACACTATAATTCTTTTTAGATATTCAGCCTTTTGGTTTATCTCTCTTGTCGATTTGGAGCACAAACGCATTCTACTAAAAAATGATTATGTTTGCAGCGCCGAAAATTCGTCACACAAAAATTAGTCCAATTTGAAAACAAAACGTACACATATAAAATGAACTGTGCTTTGTAAGTTGTAGAGCTTTTCACGTTGCATCGTATGATATATTTTGTTTTTAAAATAAACACACTAAATAATAAAAAGGAAAAAAGAAATACAAAAACTGGCCATCCATTATGGGTAACCCGTTATTTATTTATATCAATAAAAATAAATATTTTGAGTTTTCTTTTTTTCAAATCATTTAAGAAGGTCGAACGATTATCAGTTTTACAGCTGATGTAATTACATTTGTCATTTAGTATATGGAATATTTTTTTTTATTTTATTGAGCTCAATTGAACTTCATTTTGTATGGAAAAAGATTCAACATTTAACCGATTTATAAAGTGTACCGATTACTGATCAAATAAAAATTAATATATTTCATGTCGATATTAGGAATATTGAGTGCATATCTTAAAATACCCATTTTGTGGAATTCACACTATGTTTTTCGAAGAAAAAATATAATAAGTGTAAGTTTAAAGTCGAGATTTTGTGGCTACCTTCCACATAACAAGGGGAGAAGGCAGCTAAACGGTCATTAAGTACGTTGTCATATCAATCAAGGACAACAGGCGTCAAATTTCTTTTTCAGAGTTCCTTACTAACAGAAAAATGCACTGAACGAAATTAACAAAAAGATTTAGGCTATTCTAGGATAGTCCAAAGCCTTCATCAAAATTTGAATGGCTAGAATACGTTCATAAATGTTCTAAATAGCGTAATTTTTTTTTTTGTACAGACAAAAAATTTATATTCAAGATACCAAGAATGATGTGTAGTGATGCTTTGATATGTCACAGTCATTATATGATCAATATAAAAAGTATGAACTGAACAAGTAATAACTTTAAGAAATAATCAATATCAATGCTTGTGAGCTTATAGAGATATGTAATAGTACGTTGAAACGTGCTGTAGGTATAATGAATATATATACCAGGTTTATTTGTCAGTTAAATCAATGGTTAGAATAATAATACTGTCAAATGAAAAAAACCGAAATACAAAAATGAAAAACAACAAGTGAATAGCAACAACACAGATTTAAAAAAAACCTGGTATTATCCTTAGTGACACAACAATAATCTGCTAGAGCTTTTTTACTTTACGTATTTTGTATTAGGATAATAAAGCTAAAAAAAACACATATAAGTTCCACATTTTAACTCCAAGGGGACCGCATTGAGAAGCCTTTTTTGTCTAATTTCAACATAATATTATCAAAGTAAAATTCTCATCAGTGACGTTCCGTAGTTCTTTTTCCGATTGACTCTATGTAAAATAATATGAGTAAAAATCTTCATTGAAAGAAACATGATAATGTTAGCAAAAACAAAATTGGATATTTTACAGTATGTATTCGATTTTATAAATAATTCTGACTTAATAAAGAATATAGTCTATTTTCTTTCGATAATGAATAAAATACAATATTCTGTAAAACTTTAAATAGACGAATGCTTTGCTGAAAGAAAATAATAATTCGAACAATGATATTTATACACAAATAAGTGTTCTTTATCCTATATACTCATTTGAATGTCTTAATTACACTAAATGTATTATTTGTAAACAATACATGAGTACTAATTATGACAGTACTTTCAAGTATTGCCATTAACATCAATGAATATACCTGAAACCTACAGTAATGAACAGTTTTTTCTATTTTATACAGATATATCTTTGCTGCAAGAAGATAACAGTACGAATACATCAGTTATTATTCTTGATTCTTCATGTACTTACCGGACTTGATCATCAGTCTTGCTATGTATTCCTAATACTAATGATTTAAAAATTTACTTTAATATTATTTCATTCGAGCGAAAATTATATATATGTATATCACTACTTTATGTATTTTGTTACTTTATATAGAAAGAAACAGAACAAAAAAAAAAAGTAATTAAAGGAAAACGGACAGGATGGGTATGATCAAAGAAAATAAACGACACGAGAATGTACATTCGTTATCGTTTGAGGATAATATAAAGAGTTTTATTCTTGTTTTGCTCCAACAGCATCTTCATATTTTGAACCAGGAAAATCTTCATTTCCAATAAGATGATATGGTGGTTTTGTTAATGCACCAGAATCACCTACTACAACTACTCGAAAATAAGCACATGCTAATGTAAAAGCAAGAATACCAGTAATAAGTATTTTATTATAATATGCTTGTTGTTTTTCATTAATTTCTTGCCAACTACCTTCTGGTTTTGGTAACCAATCAAGTGTTGATTTATTTTGCCATAAACGTTCATACATCATTTTATATGGATCATGATGACCATGATGACCATGATGATCAACTTCACCATGATGACTACTACCATGTTGTACTTCACTACTACCATAACTTTTATATCGATGAGAATCAATCATACGAATATTATTTGTTGTTAGAATACGTTTGGCTATAGTAGTAGTTGCATTTGAATTTAAGACCCGTGCCAACATATCTAATTGAGAAATATATTTAAACAAATAAATCTGAAAATAATAAAATTTTTAATAGAAGAACATTTTTTTTTTGTTTTATTCCTATGCCTTGTTTTCATGTGCGATAGCTTGTAAACAATATGGCAGTCAATAAACCAATAGAATTTAAGTGAATAAGGATAGATAGCGCCCTACACTTATAAACTAAACCATATTCTTTGCTTATTTGTTTATTTCTACATATTTTTCATTGCTTGACTCATTTTCTCCATTCATCTTTTACCTAGATACGTGGCGATCTCTATTTTGTTAAATTTATAAACAACATTCTTTCCTGTAACAAGAAAATTTTCTTTTCAAATATAAATTTTTGTTTTTTATGTTATTTTTTTCATAACTCTATTTCGTTATATAATCTTATTTTCGTTCATTGCTCTAATGACATTTGTCAGCTGGTTATATATATACGGCCATATTTTTTTTTTCCTACAACTATAACTATTTTTTCTTTTCTTTTCTATTCACCTACACAAATCATACTCATTTGGATATTTCTAGATTTTTGTAATTTACGAGTAAGACAAAAAACCCTAAAGAAAACAAAAAAGAAATCGATGCATTAATATTAAATTTAATCTAATACAAAACTACAAATTATTATGTCAATTTCAAGTACCAGTCAAAGACGTTTATTTAAAGATTTACAAAAAATTCGTTCCGAAGAATTACCAGGTTCATTTATATCATATCAAATAATGAAATAAGAATTAATTATATTTATTACTTGTATCTTTTTTTTTTGTCTTCTTCAAGGTATTAATGCAACACCTATTGACAATGATATGCATGTATGGAATGCTTTAATTGATGGACCAGCTGATACATGTTATGAAGATGGATTGTTTACATTAAGAATGGAATTTGCAGGTATTTTATAAAGAAGAGTAAAAGAAAATTGTTTTGTCTAACATAATTATTTATTATAGATACTTATCCATTAACACCACCTAATGTTCGATTTACATGTAAAATGTTTCATCCAAATGGTATGTAGAATATTTTTCTAATTAAACATGTTTTTGATCATATATTATTTATCAATATTTTAGTTTATGCTGATGGTAGTATATGTTTAGATATATTACAACGAAATTGGAGTCCAACTTATGATGTATGTGCTATATTAACATCGATTCGTTCATTATTAAATGATCCAAATCCGAATTCACCAGCTAATAATGAAGCAGCAAAATTATTTGTTGAAAATCGTCGTTTATATGAATCAAAAGTTCGTAAATTAGTTGAAGAATCTATTATAGCTGACCAAACAAATAATGATTTAAAGATGACTGATGATCAAATACAAACAAGTGATAAATCATCTTGATTATATAAACGACTTAAGAAAAGGAAGAACAGCATCTAATGAATGAATATTTTTCATTTAGTATATTTCACAGTCGTTTTGGTTTTTTGTTTCTGTTTGTTATTAAAATTTTCTTTTTCCTTCTTTCTTCTTTATTAATAATGTATAGAAAAACAAAATCAAGAAAAAAAAAAAAACAAATAATCATTTTGTTCTAGATGTTAAAAATGTGCGAGCGTGCTCATCTAAGCACTGCCCGCTCGTTGATTAGAAACAATTTTTTTTTTGTCTTTAGCACTTTCTTTTTTGTTATTTAATCAACGATACATTAACAACAACAAAAAAACAAAATAATCATCATGCCAACCCGTTCAAATTATAATCAATCATCATTATCATCAAATCAACCAATTATGAATAATAATAATTTAAATCAATTATCAACAATTAATTCAACAAATACAAATGTTGATATAATGTCTTATATAGGAAAACTTTTAACTATAAATCAATATCAAGTTATTGTTGAAGATATTCTTGGACAAGGTGGTTTTGCATTTGTTTTTCTTGTTCGATCATTAAATCAACAACGTTATGCACTTAAAAGAATGTATGTTAATAATGAACGTGATTTAATTGTTTGTCAACGTGAAATATCTATATTAAAAGAATTTTCATCACATACAAATATTGTTAAATATGTTGATTCATCTATACAACGTTTATCATCACAATCAAATATACAACGAAAACCTTTATCTAATGATGATGATGATGATGATGATGATGATGATAATGAACAGGATGCTATTTATGAAATACTTTTATTAACTGAATATTGTTCAAATGGAGCATTAGTTGTAAGTTATATTAAAAGAGAGAGAGAGAGAGACATTCAAATCACATGAAAGTTTCAGTCCTCGTAGCGATACTACTTTACTGATTTTATCTTGATAAGTCGTCATAGAATTTTGTCTACATGATTATGATGTGTTCTATATTATATTGAATCTATTTTGAAGATTTTTACTACAATAATTGTAGAACATTTTTTTTTATTAAGAAAGAAAAATATTATTATTTATTATTTCATAATCAATTCTAAATCGTTTTTAATTCATTGACGTTTCAAAATAGCTAATTTTACACAAGCAATTATTAATAATGTCAGATGAATCATAGTACAAGGATATTTCTTGCTTTTCGTTGATATCTAACGTTTTCATTATTTTTAAATCGTCATGAAATTCTTTGTAAATTTATCTCTATCGTTCAACGAATGTTGTCTCTTTTCATTTTTAAAACAAAACATAACTTTAGCAAACTATTAATCTTTTACTACACGTTTGGTCATCAGAGTGATCATTTTTAGAACGGTTGTAGAAAATAAAAGAAGCATAGAATTTGAAAACGGTAAGAACATTTTTTTCATCGTTTCACCTTTGAAATGTCGGGCGTACAAAATCAATAATTTTGAAAAAATAAAAAAATTCGAATTTTTCGAAACACGAAATGGTCTTTACTTACATTCTGTAGAGATCTTTCGGAATTTCTATGCACACACTAAGTAACTTAACGATAAAAAATTTGATTATCTTCACTCTATTTCATTTAATAGTGCTGATTCTTATTTTTTCTGTGATAGACGAGATTTTAGCGGTTTTTTTTTCATAAGAACTTTATAACCTTACAAGTCATTGAGTATATTTAAGATATTGAAGTATACTTCAAAATCTTTATAAAAACGAGTGGCAACAAGGATAGCCAAAGTAATATTTGCTTTCAATTCATTATATTTAACAAAAAAAAAATTGTATATCTATATCGGTAACGAGAGAGAAAAAACAATTGCGCATCACATGATCAAATATATTCATCAAATGACGAATGTATGCGCACATGGATTTAAGGTGTGATTTTTATTGAAAAACAAAACTCTAAAGTCTTATCTATCATGTAAAAAGAAATTAAGCTCATAAAATAAAACAAAGTAGAGATATTCAAATTTTTTATCGTAAAACTACTTATAGATCATCCTGTGTAAACCCTTCAACTCATAACAAGTTGAAATAGTACTTATTATGAATTACATAGCTCAAGGCAAAATAAATGTTTATTTAACAATATATGTCAAAAACACATCTATTCTTTTGACATTAATTTTTATCGGTTCACTTTTTCCTTTTTCTTTTTATTATTACTACAATAGCATGGGATTGATGTTGTTTTTGTCAATTCAATAACGTCATCAAAAAAAACAAAGATCAAAAGTTAATATGTCACTCACACCCCCGTTCTCTGTCACGCGGTTGTCATATCAATCAAACGATTCTACATAAAGATATGGACACTCGGATGAATCAGAATAAATTGTTGGCATATTAGACAAGCTAATACTGTATTCATAAAATTGTTTTATCAGTAGTTCTTCTGAAACGCCTACGTGAGATAAAGAATTAAATGTAACTTTAAAAATTTTTGTGTTTTTCAATTTTATTTTTCTTTATACTTAGTTAGATTTTCAGCTTTCTTTTGATACAATGATTTTAAAGCACATTGCCATTAACCTTATTTCTATGAACTAATTTGTAATCATGAAAAACTGCTTGAGAAGATTTATGCATATGTAATATTCAAAGAAGTATATGATAATTTTGAAAGTTGTATTCAATAGTTTACTAAAATCTATCTTTAAGTTTTAGAAATAAATGAGAGAGATAATATTTGTTAATCAACTTCGACAGAAATTTTAACAAAATGTTTGATTTGTAGCGATGCAAATGTTAAGAGATATCGACGAAAATCAAAAGGATGAGAATAATATCTATAGTTAAATTTAATATATTAGACGTTATTTATTTTGTTATTAATAAATTTTATAAGAACTTGCATTAAAGAATAAATGTATAGAAATAATAAAATAAATTCTAAAAAAGAAATCCTGATTTTTTCCTATAAAATTGCTCTAATTTAGCTTGTTGACTTAAATAGAGCTCGAGATTTATGAATCAGACAACACTATCTATTGTCCATGAATTGAAAAAATCAGGAAAAAGAATCGAATTCAATTGTATTGTTATATTTATTTAATTTGCTCGAACATTTTAATTTCTAACAATGTCTTAACCGTGAAGATAAAGATGTCCTTCTCTGACATAGTAATGTGTAATTCTTTTGAATTTCTATATTTACTTTATTTCCTTGAATTCTTTAATTCCTAACATAATCTTGTCAGTTAAGATAAGAACGTTTTCTATTGACTGAATTTAAGCTCATGATAAAATTCAAATAAATGAAAAAAAAATCTAAAAATTCAATAGAATTTTATTCTTTTCCTTCTATTGAGTAATATTGAATTTCTTTGTTGCTTGAAATTCTATTAAAAATGACTCGTTTTTGATTTAGACTCGTCTAAATGAACAACGTATCAATGGTATACTATTAAATGAACGTCAAATTTTACGTATATTTGCCGATATTTGTAATGCTGTAAGTGCATTACATTATCGTCGTCCTCAACCAATATTACATCGTGATATTAAATTAGAAAATATTCTTATTGATTCTCATCAATCTTTTGTTCTATGTGATTTTGGTTCCGCTATTATGCTTTCATCATCAACAACAAATAATTATCAACAATATCAAACAAATCAATTAACTACAACTATTATACAACAACTTGAAGAAGAAATTCAACGTTATACAACATTATCTTATCGTGCACCAGAAATGATCGATCTATATAGTCGTTTACCGATTACATTAAAAGTTGATATATGGGCAATGGGATGTCTATTATATAAACTTATGTTTAATACAATGCCATTTGGTGATAGTATTTTAGCTATACAAAATGGAACATTTATTATACCAGATGATATGTCACAAGTTTATAGTCGAGATTTAAATAAATTCGTTCGATTTATGTTAGAAATAGATATTAACAAACGACCAGATATTTGGCAGGTATAAATAAATCTCTTATCTTGAATATTTCTTAAGACTAGACTACAAATATGTGGGACCAAATTTTTGTGATATCGATCATAATCTCGGCCTAGAGAAAATCATTTCAGAATTTATTCGTATCACATCTGAAAAATTCTTCAATACTTATTTATTAAGTTATGTGGTCAATGTCTAACATTTTTTGGTTCATCTCTCTTTAATTAGGTTCTGGTCTCGCACATCTGTAGACTAGATGCATCTTAATATTCTTACATTCTCATATTTGTTAAATATTTGTAAATGTATTGGTTTTGTTTTGTTTATTTGAGGTCTCTTATATAACATATAAATTACTTGGTATCGAATGTCCGATTTCAAATCGATATCAATCAAAAATTCCCGATTTAAATACAGTACCAATGCCATTAACAGAAAGTGAATCTCGTCATCAACGGACAATGGCTTCAGTAAATGCGAAGTCAACAGTAACGAATACTTCCGATGAAATATCTACTCTTGGAACAGCCGTTAATCCACGTGAACGTCCACGTGGTATTATAGCATCATCTGGTTCTTTGATTAATTTTAATCAAACAACACAAAAATCAACAACTGTTGTTGCTCCGCCACCACCACCTGCACCACCACCAACTCTAATTCCAGTCCCTCTACCCGTATCTACTCAAGTTCGACCTTCTCATCAACGATCAGGTTCAGCCGTTCAATTAATGTTTGACGATGATTTTTCACAATTTCCAAGTCATACTCTTAGTTTAACTAATATTCCAAATATGACAACAACAACAACAGCAACAACAACACCAAAAATAACATCAACACTTGAACGAAATGTTTCTCGTGCACGACCATCACCACCACCATCATTATCTTCATCATCTGGTCTTGTTTTTCAACAACAATCATTTCCTCCTCCACCTTCTACTTGTTCATCAAGTAATACGCAATTAACAAGTTCATCGACAATTCATCATCAACATCGACGTAGTGCATCTCAAACAATGAGTCCAACTAATAATCCGCCTTCTTTTCTACATGCCTCTTCTGTTGAATCTAATTTATCATTTGATCGTCGACATTCAATTGATTCATCAGTCAAACAACAACCGGAACAATCAGTACTTTTTATTGGTGAAGCATCTGATGATGATGATGATGCATTAACAACAAATTTAAATAAATTAAAAGTTCATAATCATTCAACAGAAAATGTTAAATCACGAGAAAGTCTTATTTTAAATGAAGATGATCGTTTATTTGCTAAAACATATACTATTAATTCACAATTAAAATCTGATGATGAACAATCATCTTCATCATTATCACAAGATAATGAAAATAATGATAAAATAAATAAGGTATGTTTATTTTCATAAAAGAAAGAAGAATTTTTTTTTTGTTTCATTGTCGGAAAAATTTTGAAAAATTTTATTAAAAATATCAATTATTTTTCTATTTTAGAAAAACAAGAAAAAATCTCAAATACAAATAACACCATTACGTTCCGGTCATCATCCATCGACAGAAGAAGCAGACAAAAGTATATCATCTCCTAGTACAACGAATAAAAATCTTGTTAAACGTTTAATTGAACGTTGTTCTCTTCAACAACAACAACAACAACAAGACGAACCTACTGCATCTTCAACACCTTATAAACGTAAAGATTCTATGACACTTTCCAATGAACATCCTATTTCTATGAATGATCAATCGGACAATGAAACTGATTCTGATGATGATGATGATGAAAAAGATGATGACAATAATAATAATAGCAATAATGTCGGATTTGATCAACTTATTAATGAAGATTCTGATGATGATGCACCTATTCAAGCAATACATACAAATAAAACTAATGTTGGAAGTAGTCGTTTTATGACAACACGTCATAAAGAACAACAATATGAACATTTTCAAAATTCTGATGATGATGATGATAATCGTAACCATAATAATGAAATAAACTGTTCTACAACAAAAATTTCTTCTCGTAAGTTACAATAACAATAAAAAACATTAAAAAAACAAATATCATTTGAATATTTTATCAATAAATTTTCTAGCAAATATAACTTGGTTTTAAGAAAAAACATAAAATAAAATAAATTCAAAAGTAAAATCTTTTCGCCACTATTTAATATTCTCTTGATTCTTACACCCTTGGCTTTTAAGTTCTCTTTTTTTTATTATTTCTTCAAATTCAATTTAATTATTTTTATTTTTTCTTTTACTCATTTAGATCCAACTACAAAATTATTTAATCTCTTTACAACAAATTCAAAAACAAACCCATCTAATGATTCAAAACGTATTGTAAATGAGCATAATAATCAAACAAATTCTTCTTTTATTGATAATGATAATCCATTTCTTCATGCACCTTTTCATTATTCTCATCGTTCACCAACACATAAACCTGTAACACAATCATCATTATTAACTACTCAGGCTGATACAATAACTACTGCAAATATAAATTTATTTGATCCAATTGGTATTGTCGTTGGAAAAAGACTTAGTGCATTTGCTCCTTATCATAGACAAGAACCAAATTCTATTACTAATGGTAAATTTTATTTTGTTTTTTTAGTTATCTACTGGAAAAATTAATATTAATGATATAATTGAATATACATCAAACAGAAAGATTTATTGTCCTTAAAATCTTACTGAAAAAAAACAACACATTTCGAGTAATAAAAGAGAAAAAATTATAGTATGTTTGTTTTTTCTTTTAATCGATAGTGATTAATTGAATATGTTTGAATAAATAACAACATACAATACATTAATCAGGTTAAATCTGTATGCATCTAGACAATTATAATAATAAAAAAAAAGATCGCATTACTTTACAGTCGAGTACTGCATGAGTATAACTTTTCGTACTCAACCTGGGAATTGCAGTACTCGTTATTTTACAGTATATATTTTTGATTAAAATATTTGAACTAATAAAGATGGTACTCCAATTGATTTGTTATCTACGAGCAGATATTTTATGTATTAAATAGGATTCGGTAAGACTTAGGAAGTCTTAAAACCGTTCAGTCTACCTTTTATATGTCAAAAGTTATAATTATGTCACTGAATATTGAACCTAAGAATCCGATATCTACAATCTGTTTCGGCTGAAAACTTTGCTACATGCCGGACACTAAATCTTCTCACAGAAGAAAAGCCTAATGAGTTCGTAATTTGTTTTGCAAGTCAATAGTTTAAAGGTAGGCTTCTATTGCAAGCAACTTTTTTTTGTGTTGTAATTATACTTTACATGTTCCGATATAAGTTTGCTGAACGAGTTTATTATAAAAGCTTGTACACAATTCAGAAGTAAAAAGAGATATGTTTTAATTATCATGATAGAAATTATCACGGAATGATCAAGACCCATTCAGTAATGCTTTTATCCTACTGTATGTTACTCTCACTGTCTTGTCTATTATCATTGATATCTTCATCGCGTCTATTCTATACTTATAGAGTGTAATGTCATAATAAAAAAATATTCCGATCAGACATTCATTTTCTTCGAACTTCAGAGTTAGGTACCTAAAGAGTTCATATACATCCTCTCATAGAAATATCAATTAAACGTCTGATTACGAATTTCTAAGAGATGAATTATTCAGATCTCATGAATATTATAAAAATTGATATTGTAATATCTCATATCAAGTCCAATAAACATTCGTTTGAATTTAGTCTCAACTGAAAAGCAATTTATTACTGAAGACCTTTTCTTGTAAGCTGAAGATTGTGTAAAAATGTTTTGTAACTTTTAATCATAGGCTCATTAACATGAATTCTTTTAGAGTTTAATTAGTCATATTAAGATGTACTTTTAGTTTGAGTTCAAAATTGATGAAACAATTCAAGTATTTCCGTCGCAATTTTTTTTTCTTGACATGAATATCTTATTTGCTCTCTCTTCTACTGAATAATTATTATGATTCATGTCATTTGTATTTTCTGTTTTATTAGAAATTGATGTGACGGAAATAAATTTTCAATAGAAATAGAAGACGATTAGAATATAAATCATTATAGAATTTCTTTTATTATAAACAAATATGTTTTTCTTGTCATTATCATAATGAACAGAATAAATTGCAATCTATGTAAAATTTAAGCATGTAAAGAAAAAAAAATAAGAAATAATCTAGTACTCATTTATATAAATATGTCAAGATTTTTACGTGACTCAAACATTACATCTGATACGAATAGTGTAAAAGAATAAATATGTTATGTTAACATGAGTAAAGACAGAGATTCTATATATTGATCATTCATAAATATAAGAGAACAAAAAAAAAAAAGTACGCCATAATGTAAGAAAAAAAGAACACACGAATAAGAGATTACTAATCAAAAATAAAACTTCAAATTTGCATTGATGTAAACATTTTTTTTTATTCTATTTTAGTAACTGATTCAACATCATCAATATATAATTTCAGTTTATCAAAACAAAAAATTCCACATTCAGAATCTTATCCTCCCGGTAGTAGTAGTAATATTACTACAACTACAACTAGTACAACAACAACAACAAATCCAAATAATCAATCATCAATATCAAAAGATGTTTTTATAAATGCACCATTTAAAACAAAAATAACACCTAAACAACAAAATATAATGACAACAAATAAAACTAATACAATATCACCATCATCATCTCAATCAACTTCATCATCAAATTCACAATTAATTGATTTTACTGTTCCATCACAAACAATTGTTGATTCAACATTAAAAGAACAATTACAATTATCACCTACACGTCGTCCCGTTGGTTCAGCTGGTTTAGCAACAAATTTTAGTACATTTAAAACAACAAATAATAAATATTATTTTCATTCTGAACATATTAATAATGATGGACATTCATCAAGTGAAGAATTAACAACATCATCATCAAGACGAAAACGTCATAGAAAAAAGAAATCTTCAATTAACACCGGACATGATTCACAACAACATGCATATGCTAATTTATCTTTTAATGATGCTATTGTCGACGAATTACTTTAAAATTTATAGAAAATGTTCATTTTTCCGGTGACTTTTCAATCCTTTAATCTGTTCTTCTCTTGTGAGCGTTCTACCATTCCATATCCCTACTTTTTTTTTTCGGTAATTCCATAAGTGTCTCTCTGTCTCACTCGTTTTTTGGCGCATATCTTTATGTGTATAGAGAAAAAAAACCAAACAAACAATCTTTTCTTTTTTTTTTTTGTCTTCTCACTGTGCTCTATTATATATATACATATATCTATTTATTCTTTTATGATCATCATTATATAAATAAAACCAAAAACTAAATAATGCAATATGTCTCAAAGAAATGATAATATCTATTTAACTTTAGAAATATATATTTTAAATGAGAATTCATTTTAAACAAAGTGTCCTATTAATTATTTGTTTGATATGTATACTTATTGGAATTTATGCTTGGCATTGGTGGCAAAGATATGTATGAGATATATATATATATATATTGATTCTTTTATTTGTTAAAAGAAAATATATTTGAAATTAAATTATTTAGAAATTAATTATCAATCATTTTATTCATCCAACACCTAAAACAAATTTCAACGATTTAGAAGAAGCTATTCTATTAGATAATAAATTCATATCGAAATGTCAATATTTTGCTCAAGGCAAACACTCAGTTGTGGTTGATAGTAAAGGTATCCGTTAGTTTCAATATTAACTGGGAAATAATGCTGTTGGTTCAGAAAATTACCAATAGAAGTCTAACACTTAACAACTTCATCAAATATTCAAAGTTTTCCGTAAAAGAAAAGAGAGAAAACATAGTTTTATTTTTCTTGCAGTTTAAATAACTCTTAATAATCATATGAACATAGCGTGATAGTTATATACTTTGTTCGTATTTAGGTTATCTTTGTGAACGTCGTCATTTAGAAAAGACAAATAGTTGTTGTCAAATACAATCTTCATCTATTCGTGGTCCATATATTTGTGATAGTTGTTTATTAACTACTCATTGTTGTAGTTTATTTGAACATTGTATATCTTGTTGTCTTAATCCTGATCATGTTAGAATTTTGTTTTTTTTTATAATTATCTAATCAATTGATTATTTTCTTCTTTTAGCGTATTCATCTTCAAAATTATATTCGTTCTCGAGATTTAAAAACAAGTTTACTTCTTTCATATTTATCTACAACATTTGATATTTGTATATCACGATGTCGAACACATAGTAATAGTGTTATTCATGAAAATGAATATATTGATATGATATATAAATATTGTTTTTCATCAAATTCAAATAAATAAATAAAAAAATCATGATTAATACTAATATTACTAATAATGAAAATAATAAAATAACAAATAATTCAAAATATTTACCATTTAATATTCAATGGCTTGATTCAAGTTATCAACAAACATGTTTATCTGATAGTCCATGGCAAAAGGTTGTTTATACAAAATAAAGAATCCAAAAAAAAAAAGAAATCTATTTTATTTTAAATATATCTCATTAGATTCTCAATAATCTTGAACCAATTGTAGCAAATAGAGCACGTGAACAATTTAATAATCGTCAACGTCGTCAAATACTTATTGAATTACTTGGTACACAATTTCAATGGAAATTATTTCCCACGGAACCTGATATTCCTTATATATTAGTTAGTATTTTCTTTTCTTTTTTCTTAATATAGATTTTTTTAATATTTTTGTTTTTATAGATTCCACCTTATATGCTTGAAGAAGATCGACATAAACTTGAAAATGAAGCAAAATCATGGCTACAAATACAAGTCTTTAAAGCAGCAGTTGAGATAGGAGCAAGTATATATTAATTTACATTTCATTTTTCTAAGTATATATAATAATGTTTTTTGTTTTTAATTTTATATAGCTGTAACAGAAGATCAAGAGTAAATATTAAAAAAGAAACTAAAATAATATAAAACAGCAGCTGTCCCCTCTCTAAAGTGCTGCTATTGAGCTGGCATATGGCAATAAGCCCTGTTTAGGGACTTGTTGTCGCCATACATTCATTCAAAATATCAGCTCAGTAGTAACACTTTCTGGAGGACACCTATTTTTGTTCTGGACTATATATTTAATTTTTTAGTATTAATCAATTATCAAATGATATGAAAAATTTTCTTGAATATACATATGAAATAGTATCGAAATCATTTGAACGTTATTTATATCAAATACAATATAAAGAAGAAATTATGAAACAAGAAGAACAATTACAAGAAAGAAATAAGATAAAAAACCAAAATGAATTATTTAGTCATTCAAAATTTCGTTCGATTCTTCGAGATTCACAAACTAATTCAAAAAAATTACCAATCATTAATGGTTTGTAGTTCTTGAATAAAATATTTCTTTTTTTCAGTTCAATACTAAACTTCTCTATATCAATCAATGTTATTAATAAAAGATTCTATCTTTTTCTCGATCAAATTTGATTCAAACATCAAATTAAAGAAATTTCTAACTGTTCCAAATTTGCATGAGTATCCTAATCATCTCAAATAGCTAATACAAGCTACAATGATAATATTCTTATGAACTGAGAGACGTACCGTAGAAAGATCGAAAGAGAAGGTATGGGTGTGAATTATGAGAAGACTTATAGCCGCAGTCACACTCTCGATTGCAGCAATAGCTGTGTAATCAAATAAACATGAAATGAGTAAACAAATATTTTGTGTGTGTTTTTAGTTTTAATTAGTAAATCGTTTTTGTTGATTTTAAGATAGTGAATTTAATAAAGCCCATTGAGTTAAATCTCAACGATACAATCTAAAACACTTTTCGATCCTTCTACGGTTAACTAACTAAGAAGTTCATATAAAATTTTGCAGTAGCTTTTCACAGTAACTATTCATTTATAATGAGAATACTTTTTTTTTATTTTATTTAATTAAATGACTAAATTTCAATAATTTTCGAATATTTGTCTTTTTTCTTTTTGTTTGATTAGAATTGATTTCTGCTTCTTCTCATCCTATGTCATCTCAATATAGTGATATAATATCAAAATCTATTATTGCATTACTTAAATGTGATTTACGTCGTGTAATATTTATAAAAGAAAAATTATTTGGTCAACAATTACCAATTATACTTCGACAATTTATTTGGACAGAATGTTTATTACGATTTGAAAAAAAACCATTTGATAATGATCTTGTATGTTTATCTTTCATTTAGGAAAAAAAAAATATTTATTTTTTCTTCATTAGAGTTTTGTTGAATTTCAAATAAGACGAGATTTTGCTACTGGTGTAACACGAGGAAAAAATGAGCTTAAATTAAAAAGTCCATTAAATACACCAGTAACAAATCTTATTGAAAATGCTGTTATTGAAGTAAGTAGATTTTATTTTATGTGTCAATGATGCGTATCAAAGGTTATCTAAGGATAGAAAAAGTAATGGGACGTAAAATATACTTGAATGAAATAGTATAGGTTAAATTATAGATAAAATATCGTCAATATAATATCTATTCTGATCAATAAATTCAATTATTCTTGTTTGAATAAAAAATAATAATAAAATATCTTAAAGTATGACTCGTCAATTGAACTCCATAAAAACGCTCCAATGGAAAGGACAGGATATGAAGACCTACTTATAGGTAAAATATCAGTTCGATTGACAAGTTACACTTAGATATGTTCTCTCATTAGTTAAATATCGTTGATTATATACTCATTTTTCATGTATTAAAAATTTTATTTCGATCTAATTATTTGAAAGAGATAACAATTCTGAGAAGTTATTTTTCCTGTCCGATTGTCTTTTGATCGAACCTGTGCTTGGATGATTGACTATGGTAAGCAGCATCAAAATCTGAGATAGTTCAGTTGTCTGAACCTTTATTCTTGAGATATTGAGTTTTTACTGAATTTTTTGATCGAAACTTGTGATCTTCCTGAGATCACCATGAAAATCGAATTTTGAGTTTCGACTTGAAACTTAATATAAATGCAGCTCTTAACCGACATTAGCTTATTGCGAAAATTTTACTGATTTTTGTTATGTTCTACTTTGAGATATGAATAATAACAACTTTCTAATAAAGAAAGACAATTATTCTTCATATACTGATATCTCCGCATGCGCATCACTCAAGAAGGACAAAGCGAGATTTCAGTACTCTCAAGTACAAGTGAGGTATGGTACTTCACTATACTTCATTCAAACGGCGGAGTACTGAAGTCTCGCTTTTTCCTCCTTGGAATCACTACAGTCAGTAGAACTTTCATAATAGAACTCGTCAGGTCCAAAATTTTCCGACTCGGATCTGGTCGCACCGAAGATATAAGATACTTTTTTTCCGGTTTTGTTTTTGTATTTGTTGACTAGTGCACTCTACACATTTCTTAGACGACTAGAGTCTATCGGATTCGAAACCAATTCGACCGGCTCTATTTCACAGTGAACTAGTATCACTGACTGTCTTATTTGTGCAAGTTCTTGAAATTTGATTTTCATGGTGATCTGAGGAACATCACAAATTTCAGTTAAACTATTCGGTAAAAATTCGGTATCTCAAGACCAAAGGTTTAAACAACCAAACCATCATCTTCAGCTTTAACGCTGCTCACTAAAGTCTACGAACATATTGTGCACTATTATTGTTTATTAATTTAGACATATAGTAAAATTCATGCATTACATCCATATCTTGAAGAACAACATTTAAGATTTACAATAAAAATTTTAAATGTTCTTTATACATATAGAAAAGATTATAAATCTTATTTTATATATTGGTTATTACCATTTCAATTATCTTATAATAATAATAATGATGGAAATAAAAGTATTTTATTTGTTTATTTTCCAAAGAATTATTTTTTTTTTTCATGAAATTTATTTCTCTAGATGAAGAACTTTATGTTATTGCAATGCATTTAAATTTATTTATTCGTCATTGTTTTCCTCAATGGTCAAATATATTTTCAATAGCAAATGAAATAATGGTTGATTTATCTATAAATGATCAAGAATTTT